GAGAGCGACCTGCACCAGATCATCCATTCGTCGCAGCCGCTGAGCCTGGAGCACGCCCGCTACTTCCTGTACCAGCTGCTGCGGGGCTTGAAGTATGTGCATTCTGCCAATGTGGTGCACCGCGACCTGAAGCCCAGCAACCTGCTGGTCAACGAGAACTGTGAGCTGAAAATCGGCGACTTCGGCATGGCACGGGGCCTGGGCACGGGGCCCGGGCAGCCCGAGCCTTTCCTGACCGAGTATGTGGCCACCCGCTGGTACCGGGCGCCCGAGCTGATGCTCTCGCTGGATGGTTACAGCAGCGCCATCGACCTGTGGTCGGCAGGCTGTATCCTGGCCGAGATGCTGGGCAGGCGCCAGATCTTTCCAGGCAAGAACTACCTAGACCAGCTGCAGCTGATCCTGACGGTGCTGGGCACCCCGCCCGAACGGCTGGTGGCATCCGTGGGCTCGGAGCGGGTGCGGTCCTACCTGCGGGGCCTGCCGGCCCGGCGCCCGGTGCCCCTCCCGTCCCTCTACCCAGGCCAGGACCCCCAGGCGCTGGAGTTGTTGGAGCAGCTGCTGAGCTTCGACCCCCAGCGGCGCCCATCCGCCTCCCTGGCGCTGGGCCACCCGTTCCTGGCCAAGTACCACGACCCCCAGGATGAGCCGGTCTGCTGCCCCCCCTTCGACTTCTCCTTCGACCGGCCGGCCCCAGGCAGGGAGCAGCTGAAGGAAGCCATCGCCTGGGAGATCCACGACTTCCACTGGCGCCGCGAAGGGATCCGGAGGGGCATCTGCCGCTCACGGCCCCCGCCGCCGCGCCCCCCGCCCCCACCCCCGCCCCCTCCCCCGCCCCCTCCTCCTCCGCCGCCCCCCCGGCCCGCCCCGGGCGTCGACATGGGCCCCGGGCCGGGGCCTTGGGGGGGGGGCGCCGCTGGCCGCCGGGGGTGGGGGGGAGGAGGAGAACGAGGAGGAGGAGAACGAGGAGGAGGAGAACGAGGAGGAGGAAGGGGCACAGGCGCCCCCCACCGACGCCAGGAAGGAGTGCGGCATCTCCGCCGACACCAAGGCCGCCCTCAAGGCCGCCCTCATCAAATCGGCGCTGAGGCAGAAGCAGAAAGGTGAGCCCCCCCTTCCCTCGCCTCCTCCCTCCTCCTTCGCCTCC